ACATAGTCATCTAGACTCTCATTCTCAACTTGGATCTCTCCAAGTTCTTCATTATCAGCAAAATCAGATTGAACAATCACATCATGCAAATTTTCATCATTACCACTGGGCTGCTCCACCTCACTAGAGGTGGAGTGGGTGTCATGCATAGTGTTGGTCAAATCAGGAGTACTGGACTCATTCACCAGAGGGGCAGCAGTGGTCTGGATAGGCTCCACCTCACTAGGAGAGGTGCCATCATGCACAGTTTGAGGGTCAGTCACATTTTGAACTAAGCAGGGAAAGTCACTTTCATTGAACACAACATTTCTGCTTATAATGACCTTAAAACCACTCTGGTTCCTATCCCAGATCCTATATCCTTTAACGCCTTCAGGATATCCTAAGAAAATGCATTTCTTAGACCTAGGGTCCAACTTATCAGACTGTTGATGTACATAGGCAGCACACCCAAATACTTTTAAGTTTGACAAGTCCAGGGGTTTCTTAGAGAAGACAGACTCAGGGCACTTACCTTCTAAAGGTACAGAGGGGGATCTGTTTATCAGGTAGGTGGCAGTATTTGACAGCTTCTCCCCAAAACTTCTTGGGGAGGCCAGAAGTGGCAAGCATACTCCTAACTTTGTCTAGGAGGGTCCTATTAATTCTCTAAGCTAAGCCATTCTGTTGGGGAGTATAGGGCACATTTTTGTGTCTCCTAATCCCACTCTCAACACACAACCTATCCATATCCTTATTGCAGAATTCTAAGCCATTGTCAGTTCTAAGGGTTTTAACCTTACATCCAGTTTGATTTTCTACCATAATTTTCCATTCTTTAAACCTAACATACACATCAGATTTATGTTCTAACAAACAGACCCAGACTTTCCTAGAAAAGTCATCAATTATGGACAGAAAGTACCTCCTACCCCCATGGGTAGGGACACTGGAAGGACCCCATACATCTGCATGTATGTAGTCAAGGACAGCTTTAGACTTAGGCTCACTAGAATAGCTAGAAACAGGAAACTGAACCCTATGTTGTTTACCTAGGACACAACCCTCACAGAAAGGTATGGGTGACACCAAGTCATTACCAAAACATCCAGTTTGTTTCAAAATATTCAATCCTCTATTACTCATGTGACCCAGTCTTTGGTGCCAAAGCACAGACTTGTCACTGAGTACAACATTAGCATTTTCAGAAAAAGGTTTGGCATGCACAACATACAGGTTATTTTGTTTCAAGGCTTTAAACAAAACAAGGGAGTTTTTCAAAATCTTCATACACCCATTTCCCCATTTACCCTCAAGACCACATTCTTCAAAAACAGAAACAGAAAGCAGGTTGTGCCTAAGATCAGGGACATGTCTAACATTTTTTAATTTGAAAACAGTTCTATTTTCAAACTTAAGACTTATGTCACCCACACCATGGACCTTACACTTCTTATTGTCAGCTAGGGACACATAACCAGAATCACAAGCACTATAAGAAGCAAACAGATTTTTAAAAGGAGTCATGTGGTAGGTACAGCCTGAATCTATTAACCATTCAAATTCAGTTAGGTTGCTTAGGGCAGAATTAGCATGATCACAGATCATGAACACTTCTTCACTAATTTCCTTATCAGTCACAGAGTTGGCCTGTTCATTTCTTTTGGGTTGGGTACAGTCCTTTATGAAATGATCTGGGTTCCCACAGTTATAGCACACCCTTTTCCTAGACTTATGCCTTTTCTTGCTAGGTTGTCTACCATTCTTATCCTGATTGTCCTTTTTAGGGTTTTTAGACCTACTTTTAGATCTTCCCCTAACAACCAAAGCTTCCCCAGATTCCCTATGATGGTTCCTAGAATGTTTTAAGTCAAGTTCTTTACTTCTCAGGCCATTAATAACAATATCAAGGGTTATGTCATCCCTCCCATATTTAATGGCAGACTTAACATCATTATAGGAATCAGGTATAGCATTCAATAAGACTATGGCAGTGTAGTCATCTATATGTTTATCCCCAGCCTGCTTAATGTTTTGGATTAGTTTGTTAAAAACATATAGGTTTTCATCAATATCTTTTGATAGGTCAAGCCTAAACCTAAAAAACTTTTCCAACAAAAACAGTTTGTCAGGAAGGGAAGTATCAGTATATAGAGACTCAAGTTTATCCCAGAGGTCTTTAGCAGACTCAATGACTCCAACCTTTCTAAGGACAGAGTCAGACAAGTTTAAATATATGGTTGAGCAGACTATTTCATTCATTTCAACTTGTTTGGGTTTTTCCTCAGTTTCTAAGTATTGCCCAGTAATAGCTCTATGAACTTTCTGTTGTATTAACACACATTTTATCTTCTGTTTCCAAATGTCAAAGTCAGTCTTACCATTAAAAGGCATCATACCATACTGGTTTGAAGCCATGATAACAGTCACAACACAACATCAGAGTTACAGGTAATAAGAGAGCATAACCCTGATGGTTTGGGCTGCGGACTAAGTGACCACGCAGTTCCGGGGCCACTGAAGTGGCTGGCAGGGAATCACTTAGCCCTAACCTCAGGTGCCCTAGCCAATCAGGGGTTAGGAAGCCACACAATTACCAGAACTCAACACACAAAAGCGGAAGCAAAGATGAATAGACTGACAGAGCAGAAGAAAAAAGCACAAGGAAAAAATGATACAGCAGAAAATAAGTAGGGCACGATACAACAGGTTCAGAGGTTATCACACAGAGGATAAATTCAACACAGGCAAGTTCACATATATCAGTGGCCAAGTTCGACACAGATTGGACCACTCATGCACTGTATCACCAACCTAGGGTTTCTGCAGGTCTTATCTAAATAAGATCTACACATGCAATGGTTCAGAAACTAGGGTTTCTAACCGGTAGTTCCTCAACCTAGGGTTTCGGAATACCTATACATCACAGAAGCCGGTGGCACTCCGGCAGCCCAAGAGTTAGGGTTTGAGTTTATACCTGAGCGGGTGTCACGGAGAGACAACCCGACTTACCTTCTCCGATGGCGTCTTCAGACGTTACCGGTGTGGGAGTTCTCCGGTGAGCTTCCGGTGTCCGAGAGAGGCAGCAACGTCCAGGCTCTGATACCACTGTTAGAAAACCGGACCGGCTCAGACCTCAATCACCACCAAACCCAAAAGGCTTGCTCACACTCATTACTAGGGATACAACCAGGAAGACAGAAGGGCGACAACCAACTAGCCCTCACACAAAGAACCCAGAGAACCCAGCCCAGAGAACCCACCGGAGCTTTGAATAACCCACCAATGGGAAATCACACTTTTAATCCCTGAAATAGTCACAATATTCAAATGTCAGACCCGTATTTTTGCAATTATAAATGTCACCCCTCAATTATCCAAATTGTTATAAATATTGTCCTTTGAGGGGTGAAATGTACTCCTCGCCCACATTGTACATTTCACCCTCAAAGGACCACATTTTCAGCAATTTGGACAATTAGGGGGTGACATTTACAAATTGGGGAACACAAGTCTGACATTTCAATATGGTGACTATTTCGGGGACTAAAATATCATTTTCCCCTAATTTAATATTACTTTTGGAATATGATCAAGACATTTCATTGAGCATCAAAACATTTTCATTGAGTATCATGTTTCCTATATTGAAAATTGAAACTCTGCAATTGAGCATAAAAATTTCAAAACCTATTGAGCATCAAAACAACTTAATTGAATAGTCAGCCGTAATAGACTACTACATTTTCGAGTCTAATATAACGATAAAATTGCAACACTTATTTAAAGTGTTACAAAAAGTTGGTTTCTTGTAACATTTTTAAACACGTTGTTACGTTTGATTATCAATTGTTATATTAGTTGTTATATTAAAGTGTTGGGATATTGACCCGGAGGCCCAATACCCGGATTAAAGGCCCAAGACATCCAGCCCAAACAACGAGTCCACAACCCTATGATAAGTAGGTCTAGTGAGATATTCATACCGAACGAGGTTCGGGCCAAGTAAAGGCTGGCCCAGAAAACAGACATATTGAACGGGGTTCAGGTCATACATCATACTTGGGCCAAATCAACAATGTTTTACACAGGGCCCATTATCCCGTTCGGGGAACGGACAACCAACAGGTGACCAGGTGCAATTAATGCCAGATTGTGACATCATCAAGTGGAGGCATGGGTGATCAAGTCGGTGGAACATCGGCCAATCAGCATAAAGCGTCCCATACTCTCCATTAGTATAAATAGAACGTTTAATATCATTGTAAGGGTTAGCATTTTAATACTCAAGCCCTAGAATAGCCTTATTACTCTTGTTTCTTGTATTAAGCATCAATCTGACGTACCATTCAGGTAATTTCCTTGTAATCAAACAGGTCAATTAATACAAAGTGAGCTTTTGAGCATTTGATTATCGATCTTTTATATTTCTTTTACATACCGAATTATTATCCATTTCCTGATATATCCAACGTCTGTATTGGGATTTCGGATCTACGGGATTAAACCTCAACAGTTGTGTCCTAATGTAACATTTCTGTGACTACAAAAGTATCGTTACATTTAGTTTAACAAGTGTTACATTTAGTGAAATTAAATGTAACACTTTAATATACCGAAAGTATTAAAACAGGCGGCAAACCAAATTTCTCCAAAATCAAAGTTTCCGCCATTTCTATTAGATAAATCCCCAAAATCAAAGTTTTAATCTAATAACCCTAAGTAACCTACTACCTCTACCCACCATTCTAAATTTAAGATCTAGCTCTATGCAACTCTTCTTCTTTTCATCTTATCGGTCATTGCTTCATTTTCCTATTCATCAAGATGAAGTCGAGCGAGCAAGAAAGTGAAACACAGGGACACAAGGAATGGTGCGCCGACGAGAGTACACCTAAAGGTAGCAGGGTTACGGCCAACAAATTCTTCAGTTCTTCTCTCTTCACAACCCTAACAGCCCTTTCTTCCATAGCATGGCAGATACGTATCATCCGACGTCCAAAATCGTTTCTTCCTGATTTTCTAGGCCTCTTTATGGTACCAAACAGTCGGATCTTCTTTTTCGTCACAGGTAATTCAAAAAATCACTCGCCTATTTGATCTTTCAATTACCTGATTGTGCGTGAGTAAGGCGTCAATGGATTTTTCTTTACATGTAGAATCCATATGTATCTTTGTATGTATCAAAACATATTCATTTTATCTCTTCAAAGCTTGACATGTGAGTTTTATTATTCCTATGGCATTTTTTATTTGTCTTCAATATATGAGGTGTAAATTCATGTTTTTGTGGCTTTATTCTGTAACGCTTGTTTTTTGTGGTTCGTTTTTGTATATGTTTTTGTGTGGATTTCATTTAGTTGCTTTAACTGTGAGTTTTAATCTGATTTGGGGGCTAGAAATTTTCAGTTCTATAATGCCTTCAAGGTGCTTGTGAAAATGTTTCAATGAATTCAAGTGCTTGAAATATACAGTATATTTCTCTTTCACGTGTGCTAATGTACCTATTTCTTATGCCTTTATCTTTCTAAATGGCAATCCACAACATTAAAATGCAATTGCCAGAACTAATGAAGGAACTTTATTATTCCCAAAAATATTTCACTTTCTTGACAATTTTGATGTTGGGTCTCTTAGATATCTTTTTAAACTAATTTTTTTTATTATCTTTATATTTGTATTCTACAACAGGCTATGTTAGGGGAATCGAATAGTGTATTCTATATGAACTCCTCACAGTAACTACTAAATCACTCACCTCTAATATGTTGTTGTAAATAGTTCTCTTACTCTTATGTCTCTAAAAATTAGTTGTAGTGTGATGCCAATTCAGATTCCATTTGGAGTAGTATGAAAAAGATAGATATCAAGGGACATAATTGAGCCGTACTTTCATAAAATATATTTTTATTTGATTGGGTTATTACTTTTTCCTAGTTATTTCAATTGTTTTTTTTGTAGGGAATAGGTAAAATTGGCTCAAATAGTTCATTCTGCACAATGGCAGATGACGATGGCTAAGAGCTAGATCTATTAAGGTAACTCTATTGGCTTCCAAGATGCACATGATTTGTTTAGAAAATATGATCATGTGCATAGTATTAATGATGCTATGGTTTGTAGACCCTATTATTGATGATCATACTCGTGTTACATGAGTATTTTTAATCAAAGAAAAATCTGAAGTTGAGAAAATATTTAGAACATTTTATGCTATGGTCCAAACTCAATTCAATACCAAAATTAAAATGGTAAGAAGTGATAATGGCCGTGAATATTTTTCTCAAACTTTAAACAATTTTTTTACTGAAAAAGGCATTATTCATCAAAGCTCTTGTGTCAATACACCTGCTCAAAATGGAATTGCAGAAAGGAAAAATAGACATTTGCTTGAAGTCACTCGTGCAATCATGTTTTCAACAAACATACCAAAATATTTGTGGGGAGAAGCAGTGTTACATGCAACTTATTTAATTAATCGCATGCCATCCAAAACTTTAGGATTTAAAAGTCCTATTAGTTCACTACAACACTTCTTTCCTACAAATAGATTGGTAAACACCCTTCCTTTAAAAGTTTTTGGTTGCACAGTGTTTATCAAAAATCCAGATAGATCTGCAAGTAAGTTTGATCCTAGAGGAAAAAATGTGTTTTTCTAGGTGTTTCTGCCACTCAAAAAGGGTATAAATGTTTTGATCCTACAACCAAAACAATGGTTGTTACTATGGATATTTTTTTATGGAAGAAATTAAGTGAAGATGTTCCAATAATGCCACATATCCATGAAAATCTTAATTTTCTTGATATTAATCTGGATGATCATTTCTTTAGAAATATCAGTACACCTGAAAATGATCAAGGAATAAAAAATAATGAAGTAAATCCAACTGAACCAATTGAAAAGGATCAACAGACAAGTCAGTTCTTTGAAAAAACTTATGAGAGAAGGGTTAGAAATCAAAGAATAGAGGAAGTCCAAGAACCTACAACTGTCCATGATTCTGCCTCAATGTCAGGAAGTGAAAAAGGTAATACTTCTAGCAACTTTGACCTTCCTATTGCTCTCAGAAAAGAGAGAAGAATATGTGTTAAATACCCCATCTCAAACTATGTTTCTTATTCTAAATTGACATCAGACTTTGCAGCCTTTACCTCCAATATCTCTTCTATTTCTATTCCTCCAACCATACAAGATGCTCTATCTAAACCTGAGTGGAAGAAAGTTGTTTTGGAGGAGATGGAGGCTCTTAAAAAGAATTAGACATGGAAGCTTGTAGAGTTACCTAAAAATAAACCTACAGTTGGTTGCAGATGGATTTTCACCCCCAAGTTTAAGGCAGATGGAAGTTTGGAGAGGTATAAGGCAAGACTAGTTGTCAAGGGGTACACACAGACCTATGGAATTGATTACAAAGAAACTTTTGCACCAGTTGCAAAGTTGAACACTGTAAGAATTCTTTTATCTCTTGCTACCAATTTAGACTGGCCATTACAACTGGATGTAAAGAATGCTTTTTTAAATGGGAAACTTGAAGAAGAAGTGTACATGGAACCTCCTCCTGGGTTTGAAAATAAGTTTGGGTTAAAAGTTTGCACATTAGAGAAGTCTTTATATGGACTTAAACAGTCTCCAAGAGCCTGGTTTGACAGATTCACAAAGTTCATAAAGAAGCAAGGATTTAATCAAGCTCAAGCTGACCATACTTTATTCATGAAGTTTTCAGGTAAGGGGGAGATTGCAATCTTAATTGTCTATGTAGATGATATTATCCTCACAGGAAATTATCACACAGAGTGAAAGACAAACTTGCTCATGAATATGAGATTAAAGACCTAGGAAATTTAAAATTTTTCCTAGGAATGGAGATAGCTAGATCAAAGAAGGGTATTGTTGTCTCACAAAGGAAATATGTTTTAGATCTTCTACAGGAAACTGGAATGAGTGCCTGCAAACCAGCAGACACTCCCATTGACCCAAGTCAGAAATTGGGAGATATCAAGGAGGGAAATCCAGTTGATATTCACCAATATCAAAGATTGGTAGGAAAATTAATATATCTGGCACACACAAGACCAGATATTGCATTTGCAGTAAGCATGGTAAGTCAGTTTATGCATCATCCTCTCCAAGAACATCTTGATGCTACTTACATGATTCTGAGATACCTAAAGAGCTGTCCAGGGAAAGGGTTGTTTTTCAAAAAGGGAAACAATAGGACAATTGAAGCTTTTACTGATGCAGATTATGCTGGCTCAATATCTGATAGGAGATTTACTTCTGGATACTGCACCTATGTATGGGGAAATCTAGTAACCTGGAGAAGTAAGAAACAAAATGTGGTTGCTAGAAGTAGTGTAGAATCAGAATTCAGAGCTATGGCTAATGGAATATGTGAGTTACTCTGGATCAAACGAGTAATCACAGAACTAAAGATGGAGATTGAGCTGCCTATGAAGTTATATTGTGATAATAAAGCTGATATAAGCATTGCTCATAACCATGTGCTACATGATAGAACTAAGCATATTGAAGTGGACAGACATTTCATTAAGGAGAAGATTGAAGCTGGAATCATTTGCACACCATTTGTATCCACTAAAGATCAAACAGCTGATATCTTCACCAAAGGGTTATTTAGGCCTATATTTGAGCTACTTATAAGCAAGTTGGGAATGTATGGTATATATATTCACCAACTTGAGGGGGAGTGTAGAAAAATGTTACATTATTAGAAACATGTTACATTGTTTTTTCTGATTAGATTGATGTACATAAGTGGGTTGGATAGACTTAGTTGTTGTAGATAAGCTCATAGTTATCTAGATCCTGATTTTTAGGATCTGTACCAGCTTATAGTTATCTGTACAAACTGTATTTATACTCTGTCCGAATGGCTCATTCAATCAAGGAAGTTTTATTCCTAAAACCTTGTGCTGAATTAGGTAAGGAAATTCAATGAGTCTACCGTGGTGGCTGAGAAGAGAAGAATGAAAATTTCAAAAGTGATTAGTATATTCATTATGGCACTGTGATTTGGAGTTGATTGTCTTGTAGGAATGATAGGGTTCAAAGGGGTTTGACAGGAGAGCCTCTCCATTTGATAAAAAAGCTTCACACAGAGGTACTCTATTGCTTCCTTCTTCATTTTAAGTCTTTGTATGTGATGAATACTATTGTGCTCAATATTTGATTGTGTGCAAAGTAATTTTATTATTGAGAAATGTCAATTAGTTGGTTCACATACGTGATGTTACTTCCATAAATTATACTTTGTCTAGCCGAGCCTCAACAAATTCATACATGATGTATATCTTCACTTTATACATTTAGATATAAGCTTAACGTTTATGTGTCATAGAACCCTAAACTAGACTTCTAATTGATGGGTTGAAGGTGTGGATTCTACCTTGCGCTCTAGTAGGAGTTCTTGAATACTTAGCGGAGTTATTTGTTCATTCCATATTTTTCTAATTTTATATAAGCGGATTAGTGCTCGGCTTGAATAAGTCAAGATGTACACTATTTGTTCAAGTAAAAAATGTTATTCTAATTTTTGAGTTCTTGGAGATAGTTATGTATAGTCTTTGATGACAAGCTAGCATACATAATTGACTTACTATAAAAAACTAAACACATATAACATCATAAAAGTGTTCCACACAAATGAATATAGGGTGCAACAGGAGAGGTTCCTTGTTCACTTTAGGGGGCTGCTAGAATCAATAATTCGATCTTAATGGCCATTTGATAAACCAGAATCTAATTTTTCCCTGAAAAGAAAATGAAGAGGCTCAAAACACATTGAAAATAGTGCATTTTTGTTTATTAGTTAGTTGATACCGGATAAGTTGTCACATCTGTTACTTATTTTAATTAGTTGGTATTTGTTATGGTTTATAAGTTGCTTTACTCTAGAAACTCTTGTATATTATCTTGAGGACTTCAGAAGAGAAACTATTGTATAGTTTCTAAATCCTTCCAAATAGCTCTTTTTACTCTAGTAGAGTATTGCATAGCGTTTTTTTTGCTATTAGAATGATCTTCACATTGATATTTGAGAATGGTAGTATTTGTTTGACAGTTTGAGAATAGTTGTGTACAATTTTTTTTCTTACAACATAGACGTTGGAACTTTGCAAAGAGTACTCTCTAAACTATATTTTTTAGACTCTTGGAAAGTTTGAATATCGTGAATGTTGATTTCAAGCCGTTTAGTTTAAGTGCATGTTATGATAAGTCCATTAATCCAGATCTGTACCTACCTCTATAGTAAATACAAATACATGAACCATTTTAGGTACTTTTGCATTTTCATTGCATTCTTTTTTGTTAACTCTTATTCTAGACTATCATTTTTGTTAATTTTTTATTCCAGGCTTTCTTTGATTTACATGGGAAAGAATAACACTCAATCCAATGCACTTAGAAAAACTACACATGATGATAAATCTAAAGGTGGTGTGTGAACTCCCAACATACATACGATGATCTATGATGATGAGGGGACACTGGAAGAAAATGAAGGGATGACACCATGTGATGAATGTTGAATGATATTTTCTCAAGAACGCTTCTCTGGATGATGAACATTTTTTTAATTTGAGCATATATTTTAGTTTTGATAAACATGTAGCTTATTGAATGTCATGATAATGAGCTACCTAGTTATTTGCTAGTTACAGAATCAATTGATGTAATTAACAAATGTTTTATAAATATATGTTAGATTTAAATGTGGTATTTAATAATTGTTACATTGGTTATATATTCTATATATTTGTTCCTAGATTTCTTTTTTTACATTTGTATCTTTATATGAATTAGAGAATGAGATATTTGTGTTGCTCATAATTTGCATAAGGTGTCACATTAAAGAATTAATCAAGATATGTGTATTTTCAAAAAACCATTACATCTGTGCAAGTTTAGAACTGTTACAATTGTGCTCAATCTGTTGTAACATTTGTGGTATGTTGTGAAGATCATTACAGTTGGTCATAAATTTCGTTACAAGTCGTTACATTAGAGAAAATGCAACGCCAGCGAATGTAACGTCGGGAAACTATTACATTAGGTCTAATGTAACGGTTTTTTGGACCAAAGGTCACGAACTCTGCTGTTACAAAAGATTCGAAAATCTAGTAGTGAATATATATAGTGTGTATCTTAAAACGTTATATCGATGTACATTTCGTGTAAATGGTATACTCATTTGAGTATAGCATAAAACTCGTTTTTTTATACTCATTTTATAATGTTATACCAATGCCCTTTTTTTTTTGAAAGTGATGCTCTTGTATGTATAACTCATTTTAACACAATGCACATTGTAAAATTGTTGAATGCTCATTTTAAATGTAATGATATAAAAGTATAACATTAATCACTCAAAATATCACCTGAGAATCATTAATAGTTGAATCCAATATATAAAAACCAAACACAAAATATAATCGCAAATTGTTTGAAAATAAAATTTAGAAACTAACAAACAAAATCAAGAATTCCTTAATTCAAGTAGCATAAGAGCTATTTAAATCAATGCTAAAAAGAACTATTATGCAAACTAAGTTCTAAATAGTCAATACTATATTCAACTACAACAAAGTTTATTTAAATTTTGCTTAAGAATTGAATAAAAATTCACTTCGGAATTTTTACGAAGAGTTGGTGGCCATTACTATTTAGAAAATAATTTTAATGAAATTATTAGATCATTAGTGATTAAATAGAGTGTTAAAGATGTTTCGATCAGATTTTCATTAGCTTTAATGTTTTCAGAATTCAAATTGAGTCAACTTTGGGAAGAACGGTATAATTATTGAAATAAAGGAAAAAACGAATGGAAAGGAGAATTCCAAGAGTCCAGGGAGAAGTTCGTTCCTGCTGTCTTGTTGGGAGAAGTCGGTTCACAGGAAGCATCGAGAGAGCAAAATAGCCTGAAACTTGTCAACGAGAGCAAAAATATCGGGTGTACAGCTACATCTGGGTGTACGATATAGTTTGCGAACACGATAGGAGCAGTCCAGCGACCGGTAGTAGTCTGGTAATCAAGCTTCAACAGTACAACCGAGCGTTTTGTTCGCTGTGTACTGCGTGTCGTCCCTCGGATCTCCGCCTCCACTAGGGATTTAAAAAAAAACGGCCCGCAATGACCCGCCCTGGCCCAAGACATTTGGGGCGGGCCTGGCCCGGCCCGTATTGCAAATGAGGCGGGTCTGCCCCACCCGCCTAAACAATGGGGCGGGTCCGAGTATTATTGTAACCTGTGCCGCCCCGCCCCGACCCGCTCAATATACAAGTATACATACTTTTTCTTAAATTATACTACAAATATACTTCAACATACATATGTGTATGTACAATAAATCATAAGTTCTTTGATCTAATAATATATATATATATATATATATATATATATATATATATATATATATATATATATATGTGTGTGTGTGTGTGTGTGTGTGTGTGTGTGTGTGTGTGTGTGTATGTATGTATATATATAGACACACACACATATACACACACACACATACACACACACACACACACACATATATATATATATATATATATATATATATATATATATATATATATATATATATATATATATATATCAGAATGAAATGAACGATGGATTATCAATGTCTTCTTTATATATAGCATTTTAGTACATATATTAAATTATTAATATAATTAAATAGATTAATTATTCAAGTCTAAGTAATTTTTCCTTAAATTTTGAAATTTTTAGCGTATCGTGAATTTGATTTAATATATTAAATTTTAATTATTATTTAGAAATAAATTTTATGTAGATTCAATTGGTAACAACTTCCCACTAATAAAAATACATACTGACTAATTAGGTTACGGCGGGGCGGGGCGGACCCGCCCCGCATGGGGAGGGTCATGAGTCAACAAATTTGGACACATCCAGGTTACGGGGCAGGGCGGACCTGCCCCGCCAAGTCACAGGGTGGGTCCGGGTCTTGCAGTACCCGCCCCGCCCCAACCCATTGCCATGCCTAGCCTCCACCTCTCGAATCTCATCTCTTCCTTGCCGATGGCCTTCGCTCGTCTCTTGGATCTGCGCGCGGCGATGGAGGCTATGGATGGGTTGCGCAGATGAAGTGAAGATGGCTTCACTCTGGAGGCTATGGGGGGATGGATTGTGTAGATGCTGCAAAGATAGGCTTCGCATGCTCTGCTCCCTCTTTCTTTTCCTCTTCTATTTTTCTTACACTTATTTTTTGAGTTTGGTAGCTTTTGGGTTAGGGGAAACCTAAGTTGTACGTAGTTTTAAAGATATGAGCATACACAAATAAATTTTTGAGTATGGTAGTGATTTTAAATGAGACTAAAAGAAATGAGTATACGCCTAATTGACATTTCAAACGTATAATACTACATTAGATTCACATATTAAAATTAATTGGAATTGATTATAAACATAATTTAAGAATTTTTTTATAAACGAAAAAATAATAAAAAGAAATTGAATTAGAAGATATGAAGTAGAGATCACGGGTGCTCATTGTTAGACTTCTAATACTCAAAATGAAAGACTTGATGCTCATCAGGATTGCATAAATGCTCATTTAAGAGAAATCAGTATTTTCACCAAATTACAAATTTTCCACCGACTGTACGGTGCCAGCCGTACAACCGGCTGTATGATATATGCTTTCAGCTTCAACCCCTTCAAGTGTGTTTTTATCCAATCTCAAATTATGACTCCTATTTAGGAAATTTAAACATTGATTTATGTTTTTGAATTTTAAGTATGTTTTACTCCTATGTGAGAGTTCTCTTCAATGTTAGATACTAGCTCCGTCCCATTTAAAGGTTCACGTGGCAAAATGACACGATTATTTAGACAATAATTAATGGAAAAGTACGGAAAAGATACTTGTGGTTGGATCCATTTTCAGATAGGATCATTCGTTTCATTTTTTATAAAAGTGGTTCATGCATATGTTTGATTTCCGTTACACTAACATTTGGATAAGAGGGGATGACACGATTATTAAGAAAAGTGAATTTATGTAGTTGATATTGAATTGTTAAAGTAAAAATAAAGTAAAAAATGATTTAGAGTCACACAAACTTTACCGAATTTGGTATGAGATAATCTTAATTGGATTTTCCGAAAATGAAAGTTGAGACAACCGTAGCGGAATGGAGGCAGTATTAAGTAAGATTATCTTTTGGGAAAGTTCACAAAAGTATCTTTTGATTGTGCATGCTTAGATTTAGAGGGGTGTATTGAATATGGATTGTAAAGGACTTTTCTTAATCCATAGACTTTTTTATGAATGAAGTCTATTGACTTATAAATCCACAGATAAGTTTAGACTTTTAAAAAGTCCACAGACTTTTAAATCCGGACTGCCACCGTTGATCGTCGAAATTTTCATCTAGATCACCGCTACCGATTTGTCTGTCCGCCCCCGCCACTGGAGTTCGCCGTCGTCATCATCAGATTGATCCGCTACCAACAAAATGACTTTGGTTATGCAAGGGAAATTGGGGCAATTAATTATAATAATTAATTAAATTAGGGGTAGAAGGTGCAAATAAGCCCTTGAACTTTATAAGGGGCAAATGATTTTCTGAAATATAATGCGTTGTTTAATTGCGCAGTTATCTTCAAACATTTATTTGACTGCCTTCACGGTTGAGTTTTTAGCTGAAATTTGGTATGGATTAACTAGACTTAATGAAGAAGATGCTATAAAAATTAATCAAAAAATCTACCGGGAACTGCCTCTAATGGCGACGGCAGGACAGAGTCTCCTATAAAAGGGGTTCTTTGCATTTTTTAGGTTAGTTCGAGGGCTTATTTGCCCCTTTTCCCAATAAATACTCATACCTTGAAAAAAATGTTATGTTTTAGTCATACTGTGAGTAATTTTCTATGAATAACATGATAAAAATAATTAAAAAAATAAATGAAACAAATGTAATTCATCCAGCAACGCAGAGTTCTACGAGAATAAAAAGATACTCAAAGTTTTGAGAATGTATGTTCAACAATCTCGATGTAATTATGATCAATCGTTATATTACACAACTCAATGAGTAAGAACATTGATAATTACACAAGCGTTACACTCATTGCTACATGTGGTACAAGCATATGTGCAAACAATGCAATTGAGCTTTTCTTCTTAATAATTGTTTTCTTTTCATTTTTAATTAGCTGATTAAATTTTGTATACTTATTTACAGTTAAATATTTAGTAATTTGAAATTATATTTTTATGTGTTAGCAGTTTAATGATAAAACACAGTAATAGTTAAATTGTTTTCTTAATGATTAACTGACAACATATCCGAATTGCACCGATGTAATACTATCAATTCTTAAATCGGTTCTTCTAAGAACTTCTAGAATCGAATCGATATGAGATTAACGGTTCAAGAACTGAACCAATCTCTCTTCTACATTTTTCTTCGTAACACGAGATATAAAAAATCACTTTTTTAAAAAAAATAAAAATAAAAAATAATTTTATCTCATGTATCAGTATTAATGTAGAATCTCCTTGTTCAGCTTCATATATCGTAAAATGATACAAAAAATTAAAATTTAATGTTCAAATCTTGCATACAGGGACCATCTTGGTACCAACCTCCTGTCCCGGCCAGTACTAGTCTAGGACTTGTTGACCGGTTTATGATCCCGGGTAAATAATCTATGAGGGTGAGTAGTGGCCACCGTCGCTGAAAATGAGAGAGCCTCATGTTGACCGTCAGGGTGTCCAAGATTGGCAAAT